GGCGCATACAGATCCCGGGGTGCTGCCCATCCCATGCATGGTCCCAGCGGGGCGCACGGGTGAGTCCAGCCCCAGGGATTCCATCCCGCCCCCACCCTCCTCCTCTCTACTGTGTAGTTGCGTACTGCCTGGCTGGTAGACATGCTCACACAGCATGAGCGCGTCTACCAGCCAGGCAGTACGCAACTACATACTGATACTCATGATAATAATAAAACGTAATTAGAAAATACCAGACATTTATACGTCCGGTATTTTATAAATTTGTTTCCCAGACAGAAAACTCAAATACCGGACTATCAGGTTCATAACCAGACACCTGGCAACCCTCTCTCTTGTAAGAGAGATGTGGGAAGGGTACAGCTAGTGGGCTGCAATAAAGTGACAAATTATGCACTTGGAAGAGAAAGTGACAGCCAATTGGGGCAGAACCAGATGGAACCAGATCTGAAAGGCCAGAGACATGCTCTAGTTTCTGATCTTGAGGACAGCAGCTTCCAACTGTCAGTATCCTGATCAGAGAAGTTGTATGGGAAGGCTCTTTCATGTGCTGATTTAACACCTACTAGGGGCATGTCCTGCCAAGCTGCCTGAAGCACTAGCTTTTGGGGAAAAAAAAGCAGGAACACCATTTTCTTAGAACATGCTTCCTTTAGCTATTAAGGGATATGACTAGATAGTATCCAGAGTTCCAGAAACACTGGATTTCTTTGCAAGTCGGAAAAGGATTTCTATGGCAGCTACTCTGAAGAGCAAGGCCAAAAGTAATTATGTAGATGTTCCGTGGCTTTTTTTAAAGTCTTGTTTTTAAGTGAAACTAACTCACTTCTGATCCCTCCCTACATATCCAAATCCCCAAAACAAACAAAACATTTCAGCATTATATATGTTAAAAACCCATCAGTTTATGTTTACAAATTATCAAAAGTACTTCACAAACCATGTAAACTTATCAATTACTTTAATATTAACAGTACAAATGGACCTAAATCAAATGCCTGCCCTGACAGCAATGGGTGAAATCAAAATTCAAGATCCACATACTAACAGACATTAAGGTTGACAAACCACATCCAAACATTTCGAAAGTTTAGGCTGTTTGGATTTGGTGTGCAGATTGACCCCTTAGAGAGACCTTAGATTTAAACTGCAAAAAGGAACCAGGATTTGGGATCTGAATTTAGATCCAATGCTAAATCACAAATACTGGAAACACAGCACTTGCTACAGACAAATGAACAATGTTGCACAATATGAAGATAAAGATCTTGCTGTTTGTATTGCAACTTACAGGAAATGGCAATCCTCATCAGTTTCCGGGTGAGCAAAGACCACACTCACTTCGAACAAGCTCTAAGACATAAAAGAACAGTAACAGTTTTCTTTTACTAAGTGCTAGCAATTTATTAACCACATGTGTAACAAGTGTTTCAAGGATCCTCATTGATACATTCATTACAAGAAAACAGTGAAGGAGAAGAAAAAGATGGAATTGCTGCATAAATGGGACAACTTTTAAATGAGTTACCGAGAAGCCATTTCAGCAATGTACAGGTTGAACCTCTCTAGTAAGGCAACATCCATGGTCCAGCATGATTTTAGTTAGCCAGATATCCACTTATCATGGGTGCAGCCAAGCTTCCAGCAGTCCTGTAAGGTTTGTTTACAGCCACTAGTCTTGGCTTTCAGTGTTCTGTGCTGTTATTTAGCTCCAATTTACCCCAAATGTCTTCTAAGAGCCCAGTAAGCAGTGAAAGTGTTGGTAATGCTGCTAGACAATATTGACATCCTGTGCTTTGGCAACTTCTCTGGTTCCGCACCAGTCAGGTCTTGACAGTCCGGACTAGAGAAAGGTTCAATCTGTATCATAAAACTTATATAGCGCTCAATCGTCTCAAAGAACTTTACAAACTATTTTATATGATGCAAGTCATATAATAGATATCAGCTCCATTCTGTACAACTAGCACAGAGAGAGAATAACATCCCAAAGCCTAAAAAGGCTTTAAAGGATTAGCTCTTTCATTGGTAAATGTCAGTAAGACACTGATTTCATTTGTACATACACAAATGAATGCAAAAACTATTTCCATCAGTAACAGAAATGTACAAATAGGTAAAATGAGCAAAATGATGCTTGAGAATATATTAGTTTAGGATATTAAATTTGCATATTTTGACATGTGATGTTGACAATTTGTGTTCTAACAGTTCCAAAGCTTAAGTTTTTTTTAGTCAGCCATTAAATAATAGTCTGATCTTTCCGCTGTCTGACCTCTTCCATAATTTCCTGCAAATGTAAAAAATTAAACTGCTTAAAAATGCTTAAAATAAGCACTAATATTATCAGCCAAAATTATATTTAACACACCAAATTCTGCCAACCCTATCTATTATGGTCACTACGCCTAGCAAACCATGGGGGGAAAAAACAGACAAGTAAACCTTCTGAGCAGTTCATTACAGGATGACTGGATGCCTTTAAGCCATAAAAGACCATGTGGTTTAGTGGATTGACAACAGAACTAGGAACTCTGGAGTACTCTCTGTCTCCAGCTCCCATGAAGTATCCACCAGGCTCTTGGCAATGGAGAAGGGGTCACTGCTGAAGGCAGCATACACTTCTGTATAGAAATGGCAGGTCTTTGGTGCAGGACCAGACCAACAGTTTGATACCCTTGCCTTCTAGTATGTCAGCCTCAGCTCTTCGATCTTTGAACAACACTGATACATGACCTGTTTGTAACCCTTCTCCAACATGCCATGAAAAATCTTCCTGCAGGTATCAAAGTTCTGATGGCTGGAACAGGCTCCATAGAACCAGCAAATCCATCAACTCCAGTGTATCTGCATGGAGCTGCCAG